TTGTGATGACCGTTGGACCAGAGCGGTTACCGACTGGATCCCTCGGGACGTCAAACGAACACCTGGACGACCGCCGGCCCGATGGTCAGACTTCTTCACGAAAGCTCTGAACGAAAGGAATGAAGGACTTCGTGTCCCTCGAGCGAGGAGGATCCACTGGACCACTCTAGCACGCGACAGGGACGAATGGAGACGTTGCTGGCGCCCGCTCGAGCAAATCGACGATCAACGGGACGACAGGTGATACAGGTGATACGGTGTTTGGAATTTACTCTGTCCTACGAAATATATATCTTACATTCATTGGAGGTGGTGTTGTTGTTTAGTTCAATTGTTTTGTTACAGTTCTTCGTGAGCTAATGCTTATTTTTGTTGCATCTTATGGGGGCATTCATTTCCCTTTATGCTATATTTGGTCGCTGTCTGCTTCGTTCGCTATCAATTCATGTGGTTGTGTTCAGGTTTGTGTGCCGTTTGCTAGTCATAGTTTGAGTGCATTTGTACTCGTCTCTGTGTTATTTATTTGGGGCTCGCAGCAGCGTGTTGAATAGTATAAAAAGCTGCATGTGTGTAGAGTGTTGAAGGTTTGGTGGCGGGGTTTCAAGAAGCTGCCTTTGCGTTAAATGTGTTGGATCGAAAAATAAATAGAGACCGTTTACGAGTGCCAGACTTTCAACAAGGTCTACGCGAATTTGTCTAGTGCGATTGCTGACAATGAGCGCAAGAGGGGTCACAGATGCTAAGGTGTTCTTGAAATGGTAATGTTATTTATTCAAAATACTCACGTTTTCAGGAGTTGCCATCATAGGAGGAGGGAGCCAATCGGAGTTCGACGTCGGAGCAGAGTTGGCGGATCCGCAGAATAAATCAGAACAGAGAGAATACCATAGGTCGGCCATCCAGGATTTTACATATGCGCAATATTTGGTCAAATTTATTTAAGTGTACTCATTTTCATCGAGTACTGTAGTGATAGGCAATTTTATTGATTTTCTCTCATTCTACTATCTTATTATCGTATATTTTCGTTTCGTAGCAACTACATATTATTGATGTGTTGAAACTTTCATTCACAAAGTAGTGGCTCCCTTTTGTCTAATCAGTGCAAGCTTGCTGGGATTTATTCTTATTCTGGTGCTCCGTAATTTTTTGTAGTTTGGCCGAAATTGTACATTTTACCCGGGATTTCTCCATCTCATGTTCCATTTTACTTGTCGTGGAACTTGAGGAATCTGACAATCTGACAGAGCGCCTCCAGCTTCTTATTTTTGTTGTTCACGAAATCTTGAATTCTTGACTAGTCAAAAATATAATTATCGACTTGGAATGCGCAACATCTTCTTGCGTCTATGTTGTCTTTGTTATTGTCTACATGGCGGTATACATACAGGGGTGGCCAAAAAAAAGAGACACTTTGCCCATGGCGCACATCATCGAACTTTTTGTCGCACAGAGTGCCGGTGTTAATGAAAGTTTCACGGTGAAATATTCCTAAGGTGTGTCCCCCGTGAA